ACAATTTTACATTTGGAAGAAGTACTTTTTTATCAGAAATTCAATAACTTGTGCTAAAAAGATGGAGCTTTTCACTTTATTTAAACCAAAATTATTAAGTTTTCGCTGCCCGCTCAGGAGATATGACCAATGAAAGAAATGATTATGGTAATATTAAACGAGCTCAATTTGGATTACGGGTATTTCCCGAATTTCTTTTTGTCGCGATCGTTTGAATTTGTGAGTTGTGTATTGTTTATTTGTTTAAAAAATATCAAAAAAATAGAAAAGGTCATCGCAAATCAGATTAAATTTACATAAAAAAGCTGAGTTTAAAAAAAAATAATTGGTGGCCATATGGTTGCCAACATTTGCTACGATATTTATAGTACTTTTTCAAAAAAAGTGGAAAAAATATAGTACAATTCATATATATATAGTATTTTATTTTTAATAGAAAGTAAAAACGATTTTTAAGTGATGGAAAATTTCTTCTTGTGAATGCCGAAGTTGTTGGAATAAAGAGTAGAAATGAAATAATTTTAAGTAAATTTGTTAATTCTTTCTCAGTTATGTTACCTTTTTTGATTATAAACTCACAATGACCTTTACTTTAAAGAATATTTCATCTAATATTGTTATTTCAGTATAAAGGTTATCCACTTTAATAAAAAAAATTTCGTGCAAATTACTGAAATATATAGTACGCCGACAGGAAAAATAGTACCATACTATATATAACAGTACGGTTGGCAACCCTAAGTGGGGACCACATATGAAGAAGGAAAAAATAAAAAAAACTCTCCTTAAGCTGGAATATGCTGGTACAAATTATATTTAAGTCTCTATTTTGTAACGTTGAAAACTAAGTCATTTAAATCCATTTAGGGTGTTATTTCCCAAAAACTCTATGATTACTATTGTATTTTTTTTAATGTTGAAAAACACTTAGAAAAGTTAATAGCTCGAAAAGGTCAATTAACCTTGGGAAATTTTGTTCAACTGTTTCGAGATTCTACTGTAATAAATAATAAATAGCCAAAACTTGTCCAAATGTGTGTGTCGTATTGCTATGACAAGCGCCTTAGTTAGTTATTATTGTTTTTTTTTTCGGAACATAATCAATTAGCTAGACCTACTAAACTAGTTCCTGAAGTTGATGATTTTTATCTTTTTCAGAGGCTACTTGTTTGTTGTCAATTAATATTGCTCAACTAGAATGAAAATAGAGTAATAGGAAACGCATACTAACCTCTACGGTATTCCGCTGGCAATTAAACTCAAATTCTGAAATACATAGTCCTGTTTCAAGAAAATATGGGGATACGTGGGCTTTTCTCTCATGGTCGGGCAGGAAAACACTTTTAGGAGCTCCCTAGTTCTTCTAGCTCAATTCAGACGTTGAACTAAGGGAGCATGTATTTTAGAAAGCATACTCCTTAAACTGTAGCCAATATATAACAATTCCATATAAGAGATATAGTCTAACAACATCTGTGTAAATCTTAAGGAAAATATTTGTTAAAATTTTAAACATTTTAATCAGGTTTTCTAGAATTGTCTTGAGTATGCAGTAGACTGCATCACCAAAAATAGTTGCGAGTTTTCCGCCGGGATTACAAAATTGATTATATTTTAAGACGCCCACCAAAATATTTCGGAAAGTATTAAGATTTAAGCGAGCTGGACCGATTTGAAAATACCTCCAAACATGGAGTTTTTAATGAATAAAAATAGTTTCTTAAAGAAATTTTTGAAAAAAGTCCCTTCAGATGACAAAACAGATTAGCAAAGAAATAAAAATGGTGAGAAAATACCTTTCCAATGATATCTCACAAGTCTAAATCGAAAGAGTTGAGGTTCAGTTATTCAAGTTTTTCTTATACCAATCTTTGAAAAAAAAGTTAAAAAACACCATCAAAAATCTCATTATTAGGATTCCGTTCAAAATTTTTTTATATTTTATTTTTAATATTTTTATGTAAATTTTTTAAGCTTAAACCGTTTTGTCATTTGAGGGGATTTTTTCAAAAACATCTTTAAGAAACTATTTTTATTCATAAAAAACTCCATTTTTGGAGGTATTTTCAAATCGGTCCAGCTCGCTTAAATCTTAATATTTTTCCGAAATATTTTGGTGAACGTCTTAAAATTAATAGATTTTATAATTCCAATGGAAAAACAGTACCGATTTTTTTTTGTATGGGGAGTGATGGAGACTATTATGCAGTTTTGTATCCCATGAAATTTTAGTAAAGTGCAAGTTTGAATAAGGATGGACTTACCGTTGATTTTTGGCAATTTTTTGTTCGCGGAGTTTTTTGTATGGAGAAAATGAGCAACACCTTCCACAAAAAAAAGTTTCCAAAAATCGAGTACCTTTGATTTTGTCTCTAAGAAATCTTATTAAAAAGCTTAAAATTTGATGAAACTTTGTCGAATTTGGCTAATTTTTTTTACAAAGTTTGCAATCTTGACTTACAAAGTCTGTGTTAGATAACGAGCTACATCAAAAATAATAAACATTAAATAATCGAAAGGGGATTAGACAAATAACACTAAAATGTCTGTTCCCTATTTATATTTTCGGCACTGTATCTACAGCTTATATTTTTCATATCCATGATTTTTTGAGAGAATTGGTATTATTATTTATAATTTCACTAAATTTGAGTTAGAATCGTTTCAATAAAAAAAAACCTAACAAATAACTATAAATACCTCAGACAATTTAGGTATGAATGATAGACTGCAATATAGTCCAGTTTGAAAGAATAGAACATAACCAAAGATCATAGAAAATAAGGATGCTGGCTATGTTTATGGCTCCCTTATATTCTATGTCCTTTGTGATAATGAAAGTGCTGCCACGTTTGTACGGAAAATTGTTTTTGGACCAGAGTACAGGGAGACTCTTATTAAATTAATAAAAAAAAACACTGAAAATTGGGATTTAATCGGTACAAATATGAAAAATCGGAACACTTCTACGTCCCGACTTTAAAAAAAAAAATTTAGCGGTACAATTTTTCAAAATCGGTACTGTCCGCCAAAATCGGTACGAATGGTCATCGTAATTATAAAGCATCTGAAATTTATTTAGTTTTTATCAAATAAAGACGAAATTCAATTTTTTTTAGATTTATCCGAATTTTCCGACACAAAGTTCCATTTTAAAAATTAGTCATTTTGGAGCTAAAATTCGATTTAAATTCGAATCTCGAAGCTTCGAATATCGTATTTACCCATCCCTAGTATCGATGGCTCATTACGTACGAATTTTCAATTTAATGAATGCAAATGTTTCCCTTTTCACTAATTCTGCTCGTGCCAGGCTCCAGACACGAGTGTGTGCCATTTTCAAATTCACCCAAACACACATACTCATACATATTCTGTAATAGTTTCTTGGGCATTTGGAGTTTACAATCCAACATATGTATGTATGTACAGAATGTGGCTAATGCAATCGAATGATATTGGCACGAGTTGGCGTTGTGCCCTTGCATCCTTTTCAAAATTGGAAAGAAAAATATTTGAGAGTTGCAACATCGACACAAGCGAAACGAATTTGCCCCCTCTTCTATCCACTCCTCGCTTGTAGTAGATTGGGTAGTTATTCCAATGAACTCTAATAAACTTCTCACTTCAAAACGATAATAAATTTTTGTATTCACGTGCTACGTGTACGTGGCCTCGTGAGCAAGGGATCGCCGCCGCATTTGTCGCACATCCTTAAAATAGTCCATATGTAGCGACAGCCTCGTCGTGTTGCGGGTACCCAGAATGATTGTGTGTGTGTGTTTAGGTGCGTGCGTGGATAGCTGTATGTGGAAATTAGCGAAAAGGAGAATTGATGGATGGAAGATGCATGTTGAAAGAATTGAGGCAACGGATTAAAGTAGCGAGGCGAGCACGCGTATGATTGTGCAGAAATATTTAAATCTCATATACCTAGGTCCCAAAACCCCGGGATTCTTAGCATATAATACCGCGAATTTCGGGATTTGTAACTTGCACTGATGGCAATAATGGAAACTCCTTTTCTTGACCAGTGTTGTCTGTATTTCTTTGTTTTTTATGTAATAACTAATATTTTTTATAAATGTCTAGCTCATTATACATATAACACCTTGTGATAGTAAATTTTACACACAAAAATCAATATACCTATTCGCGAAACCATGTGCCAAATGTAGTAAAATTGCGTTTTTAGTTTTTCACTCTGACGTCAGTAATACAAAAATTATTTAAAAATTCAGTGAAATGGGTCTCTAGGCCAGAAGTAGAAGTATGGGTAGCAAATTAAAGACGAAATTCTGTAGAATTTAAACAAGTTGATTTTTTTGGTGCATAACGACTGGTAAGTATTGAAAATATCCTTTTAAAATTTTATCCTTGAAATTTCGCAATATTTTTTGGTGAGAAATTATATGTTAAGGACTTATATAAACTCCATAACATCCTCGAAAATTCGTCCTTCTAACTTTATTAGCCTTAAAAATTATCTACCTATTCTTCCTTGTGAATCCAACAAATTTTATATATTTTTTTAAACTCAAAAGAAATTTCCTCTTTCATTTGGTATATTCCTGTTTTTTATTCTACATTGCATTGAATATTTTAATTTGGAATTAATCATATCTTTGAATTTACAAAGTTCCTTAAAATAAATCCTGACGTCAGAGAGAAAAAATAAAAACGCCACTTTAAATAAAAAAGTAGGTTTCAAACCCATTTATTTATTATTTATTTTATGGTAGGAGAGCTTCTCAAACAATATAGAAGCAATTTTTTCGATTTAAGTTGTTGAAATGTAATGAATATCTAATCCCGGGATCCCGAGATTGTGATAACGACATCCCGAAAATACCGGGATCGTAAAAAGCGAAAAAATTAACATCCCTAGTATGTATATGCATGTGTGCCGGGTACAGTATGAAGACATACACAAGCCTACCACGAGCGCGTGCGTTTTTAAAAAATAGTGAGAAAAATAAGCTAAGACTTTGGTTACTTACCCGATGCAGGCCGCAAAGGTGAAGGTGAGTTTCGCATGTGTCCAGTGAATGCATCTGTTGAGAAAATAAACAAAATTTAAATGTAAAAATTTATAAATATTGCAATATAATGTCTATAAGAAAATGTATACATCTGTAGCAGGGGCGCACCCAGGAATATATTTTGGGAGGGGTTTAACTTCTGAAAATTCGCTGATGATTAAAGTACATTTATGCAAGTTTTATGTACAGTATGTAATAAATAAATAAACTTTTTGAAGTTTCATAAATTGCATTTATTTACATAAAATTAGCAAAAAACTCAAACATTTGTAACCGACTTCGAAAAAGGGGTAGGTTATCAATTCGTCGGAATAGTATGCTAACGCATAACTTTGGACCACGTGAACCGATTTCAATAATTCTTTTTTTTTTATCGGAAAGATGGTACCTCAAGGGTCTTCCCGTAATTTGAAATTACTTGTTTAATATACTAAAGTTCTATAAACACAAGATGCGCTCAACTTGCAAAAGTAATAAAAAAATTTAAAAAAAAAGAGTTTTAATGTTCATTTTCCTCGATATCTGGTTTCTGGTTTTCGAATGAGATGGTGATTTTTTACGATTGCCTAATTTTTTTAATATTTCGAATACCAATAAAATTAAATGAACTTGAATTTTTGTTATGTAGGCAATTTTGGTGGAACGAATTCGAAGTGGGCAAATTAAATCTTCGAATCCTTGTTAAGGACATATCAGTTGTAAACTCTTTTAGGCTCAGTAAGTGAGTATGCATTGCATATTTTTAGGTTTCATTCGCAGTTAAACTTTTAAGAGCTCTCAAAAAGAACGAAAAATTCATATAAAATGGCGCACAAGAAATGGAAAAATTTCTTAAATCAATTTGCATCTCTCAAGAAAAAAATGCTCGTATATTTATTTCTTCGAGAAAATTTACAGCAAAAGCAAAGTGCTTATAATAAAAAATATTTCTTGTGATTTTTCTTGAGAGCTGGCTTTGGGATACAGTTTGTATTTCAGGTTATTAGCTTTAGGGGGGGTTTGAACCCCAAAACCCACCCCTTGTGTGCGCTAATGATCTGTAGTCACATACGTAAGCATATACATACATTGGTATCAATTTTATATCAGTACCTATTTATTTCTTAACCAAAGACTACTTATTCAATCAGCCACTGATAACTTGCTGCAAGAGGTTAACAAGCTCGCCGTTCCAGAGTTCAAATCGAAATATTCTTTGCAAATTATTGATTATCCTTATTTCCCTCTTCATTAAAACCTACACAACAACCCAAGTGCACTGCTCAACTGCGCCAGTGCTTGCGGTGGACGATCAATGCCCTTTCGCCCACCAACGTCCAGTGTCCTCCATATTGACCAACGAAAAAAAAATCAAATATCCTAAGCAAATAAATGCAGCAAGGCAAGTCTGCAGATGTGTCACTGCGAATGCGAATTGAGTTGGAAAGCAAAAATAAATACGCATGGGGGTGTAGGCAACTGTATGTCTTGCTGATTATGTTGTGGTGGTGGTGACGATGGTGGTAGTCTAGCTGCTACTGATTCTTGTGATGATGGGGCTGTTGCTGTTTTCTTCGTTCTTAACTCATGTTGATGACCTCTTGGCCACTTGCCATTATGCTCTTGCTGGTGTTGTTGTTGTTGTTGTTGTTGTTGTTGTTGTTGTTGTTGTTACGCCTGCTACTGCTTTGCCGAATTTACGACAATTTTGCCCATTCGAAACTTGATGCAAATGGCACGTCTTCTTAACTTGTCAATTTGAATGTTGCATGCAATGTTTTTATACATTTATTCTGCTTTCGAATGGGGGCTAAGGGGATTTTTTTCTTTCTCGCAAAACTTCTTCAACTACAAGCTTTGAGCTTATTCTGTGGCGCATTTGGTTTTGTTTTTCTTTTAAATGGGCATAAAATGTCCATTAGTATTTCGTTACTTTTATGGGGTGAATTTGGCACACAAACATTTTCTTTGCCTATAGACTGCTATATACATATGTATGTACAAGTATGCATAATGCATTTATTTGCACACTCACACTTTTACATTAAAAAACTAAATTGAATGCAAAAAAGTTGGAAAAGTTCGCCTAAAGTGTATTTAGTGAAAAAGGGAAGACGCCCACATGCCACTTTATAACCGTAAAGATCTGTTTAATAGATAGGGATGTATGTATTCAGTATCATGCATGAAGCTGGGTTGATGAGATACATGCAATTTGTATTTATACGACTTGAAACGACAGCTGATGTTAGCAAATCCCTTGCAAAATTTAGAGTAAATTTTATGCTAATCCTATTCCATTAGGGTGGTCTATATTTTTCGATAGATTTAGTAAGTAACAGATGCTGCCTATAGGGTCACTTGCGATCGCGCGCAAGGCGAGCTATGTGCTCTTGGTCTAGACAGTTCAAACGTTGGTTGGTAGGAAAACAATTTGCTAACTTACGGATGGTTTCGAGACCCTGACTTCCATTTTCACTTGAAGAATCTAACAGAATGGTGAGATCGTTGTTTAAACAGCGCTTATAAGCCAAACCAGATAAGTCAAGGTTTTCTAAACCTTTTTAAAAAGAATTCTTCATTCTCATTCCTTTGGCTGTTTCAGAATATGGGGAACCTGTAACGCCATAAGCGTTTTTCGATTTTAGTTTTTGTAATTCATTTTTAATATTTTCTTCTGCGGCTGGTTTGAAAAATTTGTGCTTATAGCCAGGTAAAAAGGTGGATATGGAAAATAAATTTTGAACGAAATAACTTTTTTCAAAATCCTGGCTGCCAGACGAATTGGATCAAAATATTGTTCTTTCTTTAAAAAAGCACCCCGTTTTTTTAAAAGCATTTGAGTTATTGGAATCACGAATGATGAGGATCTCAGATAGCTACGTAATTCTTACCTAATTAAAAGTCAGACCTATAGCTTTTTAATTATTTCAGCATCGATTCTCTTTATAGCTAAATGTTGAAGATTTCTGCTGGAAATCCCTATTGTAAGAGCTTAATCTTTGACTTTGAATAGAAAGAAGGGAGACGTAGCGGGAGAGTTTTACCACAAAGGCTTTTAACCAAGGATCCAATATACATATGTATTTCTCTATGAAAAAAATGTTGCCCAACAAGTAAACAAAATTACTGTTTTTAAAATTTTTGCTTAAAACAAATTCCCCAAAGAGCCCATTCAAAATGATCACGACAATTTGGTTTAAAATTACAGTGCACACTTTCTTATTTTATGTCTAGTAGTTTTTTTTAAAGATTGGTTCAAAAAAATCATAATAACTAAAGAAACCAATGAAGGTATTTAAAGAAGAGAAAACAAAAAAGAATATATTATTTAAAGGGCTATTTACCGTACGTCAAAGGTCAAGTAGAAGTGGGAACTTGTATGACTGCCCATTGATAATTAGCTCGGTTATATATGTAGCTTAAGATATAATATGTTTAAAGACATTTTTATCAAAGGTGATAAATAAGACATTTGACCAGTTTTGTTACACAAATACTCCAACGACCAAAAAATATATTTGATTCAATTTTTCATTTTGTTTGCCAGATATACGTTTTATCGGTGCGCTTGCGCAAACATTAGCATTCGCAAAAGCTCCGCATTGATTATTGCGAATGCGAAAGCGAATACGAATGTTAAAATTAATGCGGAAGCTCCACGGTTGCGAATGCGAATGCGAATATTCGCAACAACCCTGGTAGGAAGAGTGATAGAACTTTTAAGAAAAGTATCGATACTCATATCGAATACTCATATAGAATACTCTAAAGAAGTATCGATGCCAGTACTCAAATTCGCAAAAATGTATCTATGATACTCGTACTTCCAAGTGTTTATAAAGAAAACGTGAGAAATAAAAAAAAAATCAGATTGCATTGCTTTTGCGGACTCTTCCTATTTTGCGTTTTGCCAGATGTTTTTAAATATACTTGCAGTACGTTTATCTATACAAGCGTTAAATAAATGTTTACAGCAAAAATCTGATGAAACATTTTTAATAGCAAATATTTTATAAGCACTGTGCGCGTATATTTTTTATACATCGCTTAACTTTCAATTAAAAGTTGTATGAAGAATTGCGAATAGATTTGATAATCCTGTGCGTTATCAGCCTCTGCAACTACGACCCTTCAAGTTCATGAACCTCGAAAGCTAACAGGAAAATTATGCCTAATTACGTGATTGTGACAAGTGAATTGCCTATTTAAAAAACAAAAATTATTATTTTAAAAAAGTATAAGATACAAACTCAATGTACATACATATATATATTTTAACTAATAATTGAATGTACAGTGCACTCGCGAAAACTCGAACTAATGAAAACCAGCCCTGTCCGAGTTATCGAAATGTTCGAGTTTTCGAACGTTATGTATTTTTAATATATTTGTATGTATTCGTTTTAACAGTTTTCATACCCTGTCCATTTTTATGGCATAGTTAATCAAAGAGATTCTCTGGTTTCATGTTTTGTAGTTCATTGCCAGTTTATTTAATAAAAAATGTTAGCAAATATGAATGTTGCTTACAAATTATTAGAAAAAAAGCAGTGATCTTGGTTTGATGTTTCTTATTTTCTACCGCATTCGATACAGCCTTTTCGCGCAGTGATTGTAGCACATTAACTTTTCTCGGGCTAATTTTTTCAGCAGTTGCCCATGCTATAGCTTTGTTGAAAATTGTTACGGCTTCGGATGAACTTATGCGTTCTTGTTCATTTCCCCCTGTAGCTTCAACTTCATCTTCGGAATCGCTTTCTTCTATAGCTTCAATATGATCCTCTTCAATTAAGTCGTCGTTATTCCAGTCTCTGATTTCTTCTTCTGTGAAAGTAGCCTAATAAATATTTATTATTGTTATCGTGTGTTTTTTATTTACATCAAAACCATAACTACCTCTGTATTTAAGTGTTCGAGAATTTCGGCACCTTCTTTTTCCATACTTTTAGCTTCAGCTTCCATTTGGTTTTTTAAGACACTAAGTGGAATGTCATCGTCGTCATCGTCTTTCAGGTTTGCAAAGTTTA